AGGCAGCTTCCAGTGTCTTTACTTAACACCCTGCTCTAGACAAAAATGGTTAAAATACCAAGCATGTCCATGGAGGAATGCATCAATGGAATCTCTGACAAAAGTCCAGTGACTTCTCCAGAAGAAAAGTATCACATATTGCAGCATGACCACATTAAAGGGTGATTGCACAGTGGGATCCCTGCAGAACTGGGCTGTGTGAAAATTCTAAGTATTGCCTAGGAATGACACTTGAATGCTAGATCCTTTCCTTTGACCTAATCTGTGGGTACAACGTGGTACAGTGGTTAGAGTGTCAAACTGGGATCTGGGAGATTAGGGTTCAAACCCAACCCTACCTTGAATCTCACTGGGTGAGACAGTCATGATTCTAAGTCCCAAAAATTCTTCAAATGTGGCAGTCTCTCGTCTAAATGTGCCCCATAAAATTATTGTTATTGGGAGTGGTTTCAATATTGGAAGCATGAGAAATTATGACCTATGGAGGAATGGCTTTGCAAAATGTGGCACATTCTGCAGACAGAAGGGAAAAAAAACACAACAGCATACAGACAAGCTTCGGATGGCAAACAATTTGCTCAAGACAATCTTGCTAAGAAACGGTACCTGTTTTTACCATGTTGGAACAGCATTATTAACGCTGGCAGAGTAATTAACACAGCAATGGTACACAACCTGATTAAAGAGTAGATAAAACTTTATTTAGGAATTAACATACCTGATAGGAAAGAGAAGAGAAAGAGATGGGTTCCTAACAACATCTCTAGCTGAGAGAGAGGGTAAGACTGAATGTGGCCCTTCCAAGAAGAAGGGGGGAATTGCCATGAGTGTAGCAATCTGGAGACAGACAAGGAATGACACTTAGAAGGAGAGAAGGTGCTGACATCACTAGCCTATCTTCTTGCTGCCCCCCTGCAGGGTCTTCTTCTCTTCCTTGTATACCAGGCATTGCCATTTCCAACACCGCTTCTCAAGGTCTAGTGTACAAAGTCCACAAGATTCATCTTCTTATGTAGACTCTCAAGCTTTTCTTGAGAAAATGACTCGGTGAGTTCATCTGCAATCATTTCATCTGTAGGGCAATATTCCAACTCAACAAGCCCTTCTTCTTGCATGGTTCTAACTAGGTGTTTAGTTCCTGAGTTGAACTTCTCCATCTGTGCAAGTTTTATGCATCCTTGGTTGTCTTCAAGGAGTTGTACTGGCTTGGATTCCCCTATCCCAAAGTCTTGCATTAGTTGTTGTTGTTGTTCAGTCACACAGTTGAGTCCGACTCTTCGCGACCCCATGGACCAGATCACGCCAGGCCTTCCGGTCTTCCGCCGTCCTCAGAAGTTTGCTCAACTTCATGTCCGTTGCATCTATGACACTGCAATAGTTGCAGTATCCATTTCAGTTGTCTGCAGTTTGGTGTAGTGGTTAAGTGCACGGACTCTAATCTGGGAGAACCGGGTTTGATTCCCCACTCCTCCACTTGCACCTGCTGATGTGACCTTGGGTCAGTCACAAGCTCTGGCACAGCTGTCCTTGAAAAAGAGCAGTTTGTGTCAGAGTTCTCTCAGCCCCACCCACCTCACAGGGTGTCTGTTGTGGGGAGGGGAAGGGAAAGGAGTTTGTAAGCCGCTCTGAGACTCCAAGTGAAGGGCGGGGTATAAATCCAATCTCCTCCTCTCCTCCTCCTCCTCCTTCTGTTACGGATACATACTCAGCTTCAGCTGAGGACACAGCTACAGTTTCTTGCTTCCTGATGCTCCAGCTGACTGTTCTGCCATCATAGAAGAATAAATGTCCACTGGTTGACTTTCTGTCTGTAATATCTCCTGCCCAGTCTGCATCCATGTATCCCACTAGTCTGGGATTGTCACTTGTTGGTAACTTTAGATTCAGATGTGCAGTGCCATGCAGATACTTTGCAAGTCTTTTGACTGCATTCCAGTCCCTTTTGCTTGGTGATTCCATTTTTCTGCATAACATGCCCACAGTTCCTGTAATATCAGGACCCGTCAATGTGCTTGTGTACATTGTCTTTCAATTGTTTTTCTGTATTGCTTATTGTCAGGCAGAAGTTCACTACTTCCTTGGTGGTTTAGGTAGTTCCTTCCCATAGGAGTGCTTGCTAGCTTAGCTCGTTTCATATTCACGTAGTCCAGAAATTTTAGGATTTTCTACTTCTGATTGAGAAGATAGCTTCCATCTTCCTCTCATTTTACTTGTATTCCAAAATAGTAGTTGATGTTTCCTAATTCTTTCACTTCTACTTCTTGATTCAGATGTTGAGCTATTTCATTACAATCTTCCTTGTCTTCATAGCCTAAAATTAGGTCATCTGTATAAATCAGAATGTGAGTTCATTTGTTGTCTCTGTATCTTGAGTATTGGCATCGTTCTGCCTTGTGTTGCTGAAATCCTTGGTTAGCATTAGTTTCTTGTTCCACACTTGGCTCTGCAGCCCCTTCTGGTTCTTTTGGCTCTGCAGGTGTGTCATGTGTGCTGCCCATAGTGCTCAAATGCACTGTTTCTGTTTTCTGTGCTTCATTTTTCTCTGCTGGTATAGATTCACTGATTCTACTTTTTCTATATTTCTATATTTCTCCCTTTCATCAATGTAAACCACATTACAGATATTGACTGTTTCAAAGAAATCTTGATCAGAACACATGTGGGCTGTGCAGGCACTGTCCAGATACCAAATATGACCTTTTGTTGTTCCTTGTGTTAATATAAAACATTTCTTTAATGGCTTTCCTGTAAATCTTATTGGAACTTCCTTGCTGTTTCCCCCCTTTGCTTTGAGAAAGGCTTTCCTCTACTTAGCAGCAGAACAATCTGTCTTAATGTGGCCTCGCTTCCCACAGAGGTGACAAACGTTCCCATCTTTGTTATTTACATTCAAAGCCACCTGATCAGCACTTGGTTTAAATTCTTTGTCAGACTTTTCAAATTGTCTTTGTTTGTATGCTTCCTTCATCTGATTTATAACTTCTGTGAGGGACAGATTACTCTTAAATTCATTCTGAGATAGTAACACAATCAGATCTTGATAACAATTTTCTTTCTTGAACACCTCAACTGCTCAGCCAATCCAAGCTTCTTGTCCAGATGATAACATAAATTACCCCCCTCTTTCATCTTAAAACTGAAAAGTTTCTTTTGTAGATAAAGCTCTCTTTAATGAGGAATTTACATGCAGCCTTTCCAGCTCATACCACACAGCTTTATCTGCTAGCATCTGAATTACTCTTAACACATTTCTGTCAGTTAAACCCTTGATTATGGCACCTCTTGCCTTTTCATTGTTTCAGTCCCAGGTTCTCTGCTTTGCTGGGTCATCATCTCCTGGTTGGGCATCCCATAGTCCTGTTTCAAAAAGGTGACTCTTCATTTGTTTTCTCCAAACTAGATAATTGTTCTCAGTGATCCTATCTATCTAGTGACCATACTGTGCACCACAGGAGGTTGCCATCTTTGTTTCTTTGTTCTCATCTGTTCGTGCCAAGAGCCTCTGGCAATCTTTCTACCTTTAATCAGAGATGTGCTTGATCTGAGCCACCATAATCCCTGTTGACAGAGTAATTAAGAGAGCAGCTGTGTACAACTGGATTAAAGAGTAGATAAAGATTTCTTTTGGAGCTAACATACTTGACAGGAAAGAGGAGAGACAGAGATAGGTTCCTAGCTACATCTCTAGCTGAAAGAGAGAGAGTAAGACTGAGTGTGGCACTTCCGGGGAGGAGGAAATTGCCCTGAGAGAGCAATCTGGAGACAGACAAGGAATTACACTTAAAAGGAGAGAAGGTGCTGACCTCACTATCCTATCTGTTTTCTTGCTGCACCCTGCAAGGTCTTCTTCTCTTCTTCATTGAACACCAGAGTGTGAGATTTCCGGGGTTGGCGTTGAAGCACCTCAGCTAGCCACTGTCAGAGTCATAAAGGATGGTTGCCTTGGAACAGCCTCAGAAATCAGACAACAACCCTCTAGGGGTTGAGGGCCTGGTTTTATTGAGGTGAACTTCCCAGATCGTGTTACAGCACAGCTGATCTTGGTACACCGTTCACCTCAATCCCTTCCTCCCCGGCTGTCAGCAACTTTTCTTTATTAGGTCTCTGAACTTTTGACCTGTGTTGCTCCAAAGCCAATTGTGGGGTGTTTGGTCTTTCCATGGGGTCTCCCTGTTCCCTTTTCCCACCCAACTTTACTTGTTCCTTATGGGGGCCTCTTTGCCGGGGTCGGGCTCTACCAATTGCCTGCCTGTTTATCCCGTTCCCCTGTTTTGCACCCTGCTCTGTAGCGAGCTCTCCGGGGTTGTTTGTATCCCCCCCTTTCTTGATAGGCAGGCTCTCTTGGAGGCTCCTGGGGGCATCCGGAGCCTGACACAGAGATTGCCTTTTCCAAGAATTAATACTTTCCAAACTGATGTTGTATTGAAATAAACTGAACTGAACTACTCTACTGGAACAAAATTAAAACTGATGAATGTATAAATAAGGGAAAAATGTATTACGCTTAGATATGTTGCATACTGTATGATGATTATAAATTATATTTATATTATATTATGGTAATAACATTTTTAAAAGAGTGGATTCAGATAAACAGGGAATGCTAATTAACAAATATAGAAGACAACAGCTACAGTTCACATGTGGGAGTAATTTCAAATAGCCAGACCATCATGTGATAATTGGAATCCTCATAGACTGTATAAATCATCCCTCATTATCTTCTCTTTGCAAACAGAGTCTTCTACTTTGATCCAAGAAAGAATTGTATGAGCACCTAACCAAAAAGTTTATTTGCATTAAATTTGCATACGTGTGTGTGCATGCAACCCCCCTCCCCAAAAAACCCTCTTGGGGAACTACTAGAAAATGGATGGAAAAGAAATAGCATCACAAATCCCACTATATGGATTCATTTGGCATTCCCACATTGTTAGATCATGGCTAGCACATTCAGAGATGCTTTTTGAACAGAAGCATCTCTGCTCCAGTATGCATACGTTGGTCACACTTGGGCCCCATCCAGCCAGGGAGGCAATGGCACATTCCACAGATGTGATCGCAGGCAGCCGCATTCTTACAGTCGCACACCTGGTGACACTCGAGCCCGAAAAAGCCATCTGGACAAGCTGGAGTTGTAAAATGAAGCGAATGTGATTCTGATTTGTGTATACAACCATCTGGCAAAGAATATCCCCTGCCCCCAAATGGAGCCTTTAGGAAATGACAGGGGAATGAATTACTTTAAGCTTTAGTTATAGAGTCGATCCAAGTGTCTGTCCTTGCGTTGAAGGAAAGCAGGGCTTGCACTGGAAAACTGGGCTTCTTCAGCCTGGGAATGTGTAAATACACCCTACTTGATATTGGCCAGAGAGATAGGCTGTTGATAGAACAGCCCAAAACCTACAGTCAACAGCTGATGTTACTAGTTGATAACACGCCAGCAGAGCCTGTGACCCATGAGGTCAAACGCAACACTCCCGATTAGCATTGACTTGGTGGATTACCAATTGGGCAGTTCTGTGACAGACAGAACTTGCAGATAAGATGGCTCAAGTTTTAGCTTATTGATTGATAGGAATTGTGGGAACTGATGTGCCGTGATCTCACCCTTTGCTTATGACATAGGGTTGGATCCAGTGGCAACTTCCGTTGAGGGAAGGGACTTCCTTCAGCAGAATGGGGATTTCTTGTCTCCTCCAGCCTGCTGAAGCCCAGAACGCTCCAACATGCAGCGTCTGGAGGACGTGTTGGAAGTCTGTAGTGGAAGAGGGGAAATCAGTGTGAATTCCCTCCTGTTAGAGGAAATCTTACCACCAGGAGGCACATGATAACAGTGTATAGAATTATCATGGGGTGGAGAAGGTCGCTAGAGAGAACTTTCACTCCCTCTCTGAAAATACTGTAATTTGGGGCACCCTATGAAGTTGAGAGCTGCGGTGGCTCAAGCGGTTAAGACGCTGAACTGCGGGCTGTGGAAGGTCGGTAGTTCAGCAGTTCGAGACCCGATTGCCGCATGACGGAGTGAGCTCCCGTCTCTAGTTCCAGCTCCTGCCAACCTAGCAGTTCGAAATTAAGAAATTGCAAGTAGATAAATAGGTACCACTTTGGTGGGAAGGAAACAGAGTTCCATGCGCCTTGGCATTTAGTCATGCCGGCCACATGACCACGGAAACGTCTTTGGACAGCGCTGGCTCTTCGGCTTGGAAACGGAGATGAGCACCGCAATCCTAGAGTCGGATTCGACTGGCTTTCGAGCAAGGGAACCTTTACCTTTTTATGAAGTTGATGGGTAATAGGTTCAGGATGGACCAAAGAAGGTACTTCTTTATTCAACAACTAATTAAACTGTGGAATTTACTGCCAGTAGATCTCACAATGGCTTTAAAAAGAGATTAGATAGATTCATGGGGGAGAGGTCCATCAGTGGCTACTAGCCATGGTGATCAAAGGAAACCTCCATGCCCATGGACAGTAAACTTCTGAATACCAGTGCTGGGATATATCATCAGAGCAGGGTCTCGGCCTTTTTATCCTGTACGTTTGGCCCTCCAGGGCAAGTGACAGCTGCTGCATGAAACAGGATGCCGGACTACATGGGCCACTGGTCTGACTCAGCAGTGCTGTTCTTAGGTTAAGGTTTGAAATGGGGAAGAAGGGAGAAGAGATGGATTCTAACAAATGGAATCTGCATTTGCTATATAGTCCAGGAAAATTATGGAGGACATGCTTCTACTGAGACATCAAGTGTCTTTTGACACAACCAGGATTTGTGTGTGTGTGAGTGTGTGCGCGTGTGTGTAAGTCCATTTGTTCATGCTGAGGGAGAGACAGATTTATCCTGACCTGCCTTGTTTGCAATAAGCACCTTAGTTTTAAACCTAAGGGCAACCAGTGATTATGGGCTGTATCTAGGCTGGGGGGAAATTATTCCTGGCACTATCCAGGCTTTAAATGAATACAGGCGGCACATTTCCCTTTTTAATAAGATGACTTCCTTGCACTCTCCCGGAATGGAGGCTTTAACTGGGCTGCAGAATGATGGCACTTCATTTGTGCTTGAGTTACTATCCCTTAAGGCAAAGCCGCTTGAGATTTAATTTACGGGGGGGGGGGGATTGTATTGAGGGCCTGTGCAGAATTCTCAGCCCACACAAGAAAGGTGATTTCCCACAGCATCACTCTGAGCAATGAGTGTTAGCACACTGAGGCCACGCATGCTGCACCAGCATGGTAACACAATGTGAATGTTATTCTGCGCACATAAAAGCATTTCGTTGAGAAAGGTGCCCTGTGGAATGCTTACAGGAAGAAGTGATTTGCAGGATGTTTAATCAGAGCATCTCAGCCTCTGGGCCTGCATAAGGTGGGGGTGTGGGGAAACATGTGCAAAGTCAGGTGTGCCTCTCGGTGACTCCTGCAAAGTGGAATCTGCATGTTCACCTCATGGGGAGTTGTGCGTAGTCTTCATTATACTAGGACTGAAATGTTTTCCCCCCCTGCCGCCCGTTGCGAAGCTCAGCTGCACCTTGATGGTGTAAGTGTGGAAAGCAAGTGTACAAATAGCTCTTACAATTTCAAAATAAATGGTACCATGCAAAATCAGAGCATCTGTAAATAGGCCCTAGAATAAGGGGAGAAACGGTTTGCTGTAGGGCAGTCAATGAAGAAGAGAAGAGGAAGAGATTGGGTATATACCCTGCCCTTCACTCGGAGTCTCAGAGCAGCTTACAAACTCCTTTCCCTTCCCCTCCCCACAACAGACACCCTGTGAGGTAGGTGGGGCTGAGAGAACTCTTTCAAGAACTAGTCTTTCAAGGACAGCTCTGACGGAACTGTGGCTTGCCCAAGGTCATCCAGCAGCTGCAAGTGGAGGGGTGGGGACTCAAACCCAGTTCTCCCAGATTAGAGTCTGCACACTTAACCACTACACCAAACTGACTTACTTAGGGCCTTACAGAGTAGTCCTAAGCAGAGTTACAGCCTTATGAGCCCATTTACTTCAATAGACTCAAAAAGGTGTTATTCCGCTTAGAACGGCATTGTTACTTACTTAGCTGCTAGTCAGATTTGGACTTGGAAGAGTTCAAATCCCCATTCAGCCATGTAAACTACTGGGTGATCTTGGCTGAGTTGCCACTTCTCAGTTTAACCTATCTAAATGTAGCTGTGAGACCAAAATGCCATAATCTGTTTTCACGTTGCATGGGAACTGCGTGGCTAAATGTATCCGCATTAAAAGAAATCCCTCCATATAGGAAAGGACTTGTGGGAGGCATTTTGTTTTCTGCTTCCCCACTATTTCCACCTCCCCTTCCCTGAAAACTCCCATAGCCTCTCCCCTTTTCTTACTTTCTTCTCTGTTTCCCGCCCTCCAGTCAACTTACCTTAAGCTGCACCCCTGCATTCACCTTTCCCTCTGCCCCAGCCGCCTCTCTTGGAAAAATCAAGCTGAGCCCAGCTGATTGGTGGTGGGTTGCCAGCCCAGTTGTGTAGTGCCAGTCACTGGGTCTGAGGTCCCCCAGGGACCTTCCATTGCAGAATGGGGATTCAAATCTGGGTCTACCAGATCCTGCTCTGAAACTCTAACCACTTCAACAAACGTGCTTTTGTGGGGTGGCTTCGTTGACGAGTACCAAGGCACTGGGCCTGGGTGAGTCGTGCAAGTCTGGAGAAGCAAGTGGCCTGGTTGTTGTTGCCAGGCCTGGACCCCTGAGTCCTCCATCACAAACCAAAACAGCCCGGGAAATGGCCCTGACTCCTCTCTCTGCCCTTTCCTGACAGAAACCCCAGGCTGGAAGGCTGGCAATACCAATGGCTGTGGTCAAACACATTCAATAATCCACTTTCAATCCACTTCGAGTGCACTTTCCAACTGGATTTTTACTGTGTGAACTGGCAAATCTGGTTGGAAAGCACACTGAAAGTGGATTATTTAGTGTGTGTGACTGTAGCCATTGTGTCTGCCTAGCGATAGCCATTGAGGGCATTTGTTTCTTAAAGGTACAGGTCCTACTTCTAGTATTTTCCCCGGTTTTTTTTAATATGTCAGTATTTTTCCCTGCAAACTTGATTTTTTAAAATGTTTGTGGAAAGATCCGTCTTGCCCATTCGTGGCTCGAGTCTCTTGATTTAAGTAACTATGAATTTGGCCACGATGAGAATTAGATATAGCACGCGATTAAAGACAAAGACTTCCTCTTTGGCATCTAGTTTTCTATGCGGAAGGAGACTCTTGACTATGGAGAACCATTTGTCAGCTTATTTGTTGAGCGTGCACCTGCAGTTGGAAAGGAGGCCTGATAAGTATGGATATTTTTGAACCGCCTGCAAAAACTGACCTTCTCGGGGCACATGTAGAGGCATGAACAGAGAACATTATGGTGCCTCAGCACTGGCTATGTGATACCTCTGTTGATTGGCATCACTTCATTCAAAGAAAAGTCATGCCATTGCTTACTGTCATGCCACGTTGTCCTTTCACTGTTTTGACAGATTCCCCATTTCTTGCATGATATTATTGTGGCATGCTGCCTTGAGGCCCTTTTGGTGGAAAGGCCACATTAAAAAAATGAAATGCATATATGATTTTCTTTTACCTCCAATCTTAAGCAATGGTCAATCCAACAAGAGTATTTCCAAACGTGTTAGTGTGAACTAGGCCTAACCTGCTGAGGAAAAGGGCCCCTAAATCTGGATGGATGGAACCTCAATCTGCTTCTCTGCTCTTCTTGCCATCCTTCCCTAGGTAGAGCAAAATCAATGGGCATTGCGGACCACATTATAGCAGAGTGTTTGGCTAGCTGCTCTAGACACACAATTTAAAAACAAACAAAACTGGCACGATTCGAGGGAGTTCAACACAAGAAGACTGAATGCCCACTCTTTGCATCTTAAAGACTAGCAGAAGCCATTGACTCCTTTGGCCTACTAGCTGCATTTTCCTCACACTGAGTTGGACAGATCCCCATAGATATATTGCACACGCTTTTGAACAAGTATGCGGAGCTGCGGTGGCTCAAGTGGTTAAGACGCTGAACTGCAGGCTGTGGAAGGTCGGTAGTTCAGCAGTTCGAGACCCGAGTGTGCCGCATGACGAAGTGAGCTCCCGACTCTGGTTCCAGCTCCTGCCAACCTAGCAGTTCGAAAGTAAGAAATTGCAACTAGATAAATAGGTAGCACTTCAGTGGGAAGGTAACAGCGTTCCATGCGCCTTGGCGTTTAGTCATGCCGGCCACATGACCACGGAAATGTCTTTAGCTTTGAAACGGAGATGAGCACCGCAACCCTAGAGTCGGATTTGACTGGCTTTTGAGCAAGGGAACCTTTACCTTTACCTTTGAACAAGTATATATTTCAGAGGTGAACGCCCTGTGCTTCTTTGTCCCAACATGCTTTGATGCAACCTGAGAACTTCCCCTTCCTTCTTTGTTTACCATTGTCCCTGAGGAAGGATGCTCTGAAACTGAAAAAGGTTTAGATTTTTATTCGGCCCGGATGAAATGTATCATGATATTATTCCTGAGTGGGTTTTATTTCATGGACAAACATAGTTTCCTGCATTTGTTGTCTCTGTTGCAAACGGCTCCAGTTTCCACTAGAGGGCAGCATATGCAAACAAGAGATAGAATTTGCACCTTACCTAAGAACAGCAAAGTACACTAGAATATTATTTTTCCAAAGTTAACATGTCAGTTTGGATGAGAAACAGCACAAGAGATTTTGCTCAAAGGACAGGGATTTCTATTCCAATGTCACTGACCATAGGCTTTTGTCTGCACAGGACTTGCTTACATTTGCATTACTACCGGCTTTGCTTTTCTACTTTTCTTGTATATCCAGGACCAGACAGTGAAGTGATTTGGCAACAGATCGGCAGGCAGGAAACTCAATCCACACCACCCACTGCCTTGTTTTAGTAAAAGCTATGGTGACCAACCCTACACTGGTTCAAGAGCAGAGGTTTTCCAAATCTTCTACCTTCAAGGCACCCCTTTTCCGCATCAAATTACCTTGACAAGGATTTCATACACTTAAGCCGTGGAACCCCTGTACCTTGGGATGCAGAATTTAACCGCAGTAAGTGCTGATCTTAAATGCATCTAAAGTACCCACTTATCCTGGTTCTGAGAAGAACATGGAGGGAGCCTGTGCGCCTCATACTTGCTTAACCAGGATTAAGAGATTAGACCCGTTTTGTCCACAGCGGCCAAGTTTTATCACTGAGCTGATGGATTTTCCCCAGGCTGATCAATATAATCAGTACGACAAGTTTTAAATCTGCAGAAAACATCTGCTGAGAAAGACACTGATTCTCATTCTTAAGGAAACCCAGAAAAGGAAGCGGGAGGGGAGAGAAATACCTTTCTCACAAAAGATCCCTGTCCAGCCGGCTGCACAATCGCAGGCTCCGCTCACGGGGTCACAGGCAGCTCCGTTCTGGCATCGACAGCTGGACTTACAGCTGGGGCCGAACGTCCCCCTGGGGCAACCTGCAGAGATAGAACAGCAGCTGCAGCACTGGATCCAACCGGGCACAGGCTTGTGGATCAATTCTGGATGCTCTCCAGTTGCTGGGAAAGCTGCTTATTTGTACAAAAAGCAAAAGAGCGACTCCGAAAGAGGTGCCTGCAGCGGCAACCTAACCGCTGGGTATAGCAGGGGCTGCGTGGGTGTCATCACGGGTCTGCAGGAGGGCGGAGAGAGAACAGAACGCGACCTGGGATGCTGGACTGAGCTTCCGTAAGGACTCTGCCTTCACTTAGACAAAAAACGACAGCTGCAGGAGCAAGTTCTATCCTGCCTAGAAGAAAGGAAGGCTAAGCTGTTTCTAAAGGGAGGCTGTAAAAATCCTCTGTAGCAATGGACACGAGGACACCCCACTCCTTTCTTTAAAATTATTTCCCTGCAGCCTTCGGCCAATGCTCTTAGGCATCTCAATGCCAGCTGAGCTTTAAATATGTGTACAGTGCATGTGTACACATTTATTGATTTTCATTACAGTGCCATCAATAAGCAGAGGCACGCCCTTTTATGTCTAGGGGGAGCATCATGTAAGACTGGACAGCTGTGCCCGGCCTTTCTTTCACCGCGAAGCTCAAGGCAGGAGGCACAGGGTTTCCCCAGAGGGCTCCCACTCAGGCAGTGCCCAGACCCAGACCTGCTTAGCTTCCGCAAGATGGCTCCATTTTGTAGCAGGTACTCATTTGCATATTAAGCGACACACCCCTAATGTAGCCAATCCTCCAAGAGCTTACAGTAGCTCCTGTAAGAAGAGCTCTGTAAGCTCTTGGAGGATTGGCTACATTAGGGGTGTGTGGCCTAATATGCAAAGGAGCTCCTGCTACAAAAAGAGCCCACTTTGAGTCCTCCTGTCCAGGGCTGCTGAGAACCACCACAGGAGACCCGACAAAGATTTCCTTCACCCTGATCCAACCAGGCACTGTATGAAAACAAATCAAGGCCCATGCCCCCCCCCCACACCAGTGTTCCCTCTGAGCTGAGTGAGTGTGAGCTAGCTCACAGTTTTTTTAGCCTCCGGCTCACGCGTTTTTGTCTCTGCTCGGGAAGGATGGCTCCAGAGCAAACTAATTGATGCAGGAGCCAAATCCCTCGCTCACAACTTTAATGCCAGTCGCTCACAAAGCAGATTTCTTGCTCACAAGACTCCACCGCTTAGAGGGAGCATTGCCCCCCCCCACCCCAGATTTTGTCCCCTATGCCCTAGGATAGCCCCTTCTCATCATACCATGGAAACTAAGCAGGGTCACTGCTGGGAAGTATTTGGATGGGAGACTGCCAAGGAAGCCCAGGGTCACGACACGGAGGTAGGCAATGGCAAACCAACTTCATTTGTGTCTTGCCTTGGAAACCCTACAGGGTCACCATAAGTTGTACTGCAACTTGGCAGCACTTTACACAAGGAGTGTCCCTTGCCCCACTGACCCCGCCTCCAGCCATCACCTGGGGCCACACCATCCTCTTTTTTGGGGGGTGTTCCTTCAGTCTCTCCCTCCTCTCCCTTGGCTATTGACCACATTGTCTGTTTGGGATCCATATCTCCTCTTGGGGCTAGAAACAACTCTATTTTAGGAAAGGTAATTCTGTAAGATGCCGTGTAAACTGATGGTGATGTAGGTATGTGTGCCTGTATTTATTCATTTTATTTATTTATCAATTAAATTCATGGATCACCCAAGCCCTGAGTTCACGGGGCTCTGGGCGATGTACAACTGTAAAGAAAATACAATATAAATATCATTAAGTCACAATAATAAAACATTCAATACAGTCTTAAGAAACAGTTCCCAGATGGCGTCCATGAATCAAATTTTAAGCCTTCTCTAGGCTGAGTTGCTGCCTCGCAGGCAGGGTAGGGAGGAGGCCGAAAGAAAAGATGGAATAAAGGTGTGTATGTGGGGGGGGGGGGTACCAGCCATGATAGAGCCCGTTGCTGTCCTCAGAATCTCTGCCTTGCAGGCCTTGAGGCACTGCATTAAATCCTGCAGGGCCCTGATGTTATTTGGCAGAGAGTTCCACCAGGTTGGAGCTAGGATTGAAAAATATGATCCTTGGGAGGCTTAACAGAGGAGGCGGCCCCAAAGATACATGGCTCCCTGACCACCCACAGCCTTAAAGGTCAGTACTAAAACCTTGAACCTGACTCAGTACTCCACTGGAAGCCAGTGTAGCGGGTGCAGCACAGGCTGAATGCGTGCCGTCCATGACGTTCCTGTCGGGACTCGTGCCACTGCATTCTGGATCAGTTGGAGTCTCTGGGTCAGTCTCAAGGGCAGGCCAGTGTAGAGCAAGTTACAGTAGTCTAGCCTGGAGGTGACCATTGCATGGATTACTGTGGCTAGGTCAGGGCATGACAGGAAAGGGGCTAGCTGAGAGGTGTCAAACTCATTTGTTACGAGGACAGGATCTGACATAAATGTCACTTTGTCAGGCCAGGCCATGTGTGCCATAAAACGTAACACAGGGTACCAGAGACATATACTTTATAAAGATGGTCTCAGATGCTGAATGGCGATCGCCAGCTTGATCAGATTGGGTGTGATATGCAGAGGGGCAGCAGGAGTAGAGATCAGTGTTGGTAATGAGACAGGAACCCTAGGTCTCCATTTGGTACAGGAGGATTCAGTCCAGGAGGATGCAAAGAATAAATGGAAATAAGTCTGAAGAAGTGAGCAGTGACCCATAAAAGCACATACCCTTCCACAGTTTTGTTAGGTGCTGCTGGACTCTTACTTTTTCTACTGCTATTAGAAACCACAACATTCAAAAACCAGTGGGGGCAAATGAGCAAGTCGTGCTGGGCGAGAGCTAGCAGACACAAGGGAGGCTGAGTAGAATCCTCTCTCTGCAGCCTCCACTGCCACCTCATAGGAGTTCATAAGCGTCCTATAAGATGTTCTTGCAGCTTCATCGTGGGCATGCCACCAAACTTGCTCAAGTCATCTGTGTTCCTGTTTCATCCCCTGAGTTTTATAGCGTACTAGGGGGATGATATTATAAATAATAAAGGCATGAAATGAAACACAAATGTTTATCAGGGAGGATAGAAGAGGAAAGAAGGCATTTCGATTACCCTAAAACAAAGACTACCGGCCAAACGAGTTACTCCAAATCTGAAAACAAAGTTTTGTCCTGGGGGTGAAATCTGAAATCTCCCAAACTGGACTTCTCCATGTTATGACAACTGTACCAGCTGGGCCTTTTTCTAGGTGTACAGAATAGGAAAATTTTTTCCCTCCTCTTGGGTTCTAAGAATGCTCCTTCAGACGTTGACATTATTATGGACCTACTTTGCTCACAATGATTGCCAGTGTATCCTGCTTCACAGATGCAAATCCCAGTAACAGCATCACAGCTATTAGCACTGTTCTTGCAGTCACATGAGTTTCTGCAAAGCTGTCCCCAGTAGCCAGAATCACAAGCTGCAGAAGAAGATAAAAGTATGATGCATTTTATGCAGGAAGCGTCTAATGGAGCGACTTTTATTTTGCTGTCATTTTACAGCACAGACTGTAAGGAGAAAAAAGAAAACAGTGGTAGGTAGGTTTGGGTGTACTGGAAATCACTGAGGGAGCAGCTGAGAGTGGCATTAGGTGAATATTCGGCTCCGAATCCTTTTGTTGTTGCTGTGTGCTATGGAGAAGAGGGGGTTGCATGTGCCTTGGCTGGCAGGGTAGTCGGTCAATAGGCTCAGCAAACATTGCTGGCCGAGCAGCTCTTGTACGGTTCAAAACAGGGCCATCAGCTGCAAGTGGGGCAATAATTTTCTCCATGTGTTCGTACAGCACGGTACACAACACAGTGCAGAAAATTACTGGCCTCTCAGTGGCACTCTGCTTAGCCAAGTCTGAAGCCTTTCTCCAGTCTAAGCAGCCTTTCACCAACAGAAGTGCCTCTTCCCCGGACATAAAAGCCCCTTCTGTTGAAGGATGGGCTGGAGGGAGGCTTCCTACTTGGCTGAGTGGAGCGGTTGGATACAAGCCATGTCATTGATACCGGAAAAGGCTGCCACTCTTCTCTTGTAGCCTCCCCTTTACAGTGTGCTGGAACAGCCTGTTGCTGGTCTTTATGCTGGTGGTCTCTGGCTTTCATCTGAGCCACAGAAGAGCTCCTCCCTCTCATTTCCCCTCAATTATTTTGTAGCAGCTACTGCTGCCGCCGTAACAACCTGTAGAAGATAGGGAGGTCCCCCCTTTCTCCAGCGTCACACTGGTGACGGCGGTGGCAGAGGCTGGAGAAAAGGAAGGAGATCTCCATATCCTTCTTCTTGGTACCTTCCGTTTTTCCTCCAGAGTCCTGAACTTTGTTACGTCAGTGTTCACGACCATCAGTGATCCCGGGAAATACAGTGTTTTTCCCTCTCCAAGATGCCTAGCACTTAGGGTACTAGGAAGGGAGAGAAGGAGGACACCAAGGAAAAGTGGTTCTTTCTCCTTCCTGTTCTTGCTGTAGCGACGTATGCCACCACCAACATAACTGTGGGGAAGGGAGCGCATGAGAGAGAACAGTCACCTATACGCCTATGTTTATCACCTCAGTCTTTGTTGGAAGAGTAAGAAGATTGTAGTGTAACCCTAAGCAGAGTTACACTCTTCTAAGTTCACTAACATTGAAGAAGAAGCGTTGAGGCACTAAGGAGTGTCAAAGCAGCTGACAATCACCTTCCCTTCCTATCCCCACAACAGGCACCTTGTGAGGCAGGTGGGGCTGAGAGAGTTCTGAGATAACTGTGACTGGTTTCATGTGGAGGAGTGGGGAATCAAACCAGGTTCTCCAGATTTAGAGGCTGCTGCTCTTAACCCCTGCACCATGCTGGCTCACTGGGATAGCTCTCATAATCTCTTAACCCAATGCAGCTATTCTCCAGGTTGTTGTGAAAAAAAATTGAAAATGGAAGAACCTTAACAATGCCACCTAGAGCTCCTTGGAAGTAGGGCGAGGGATAACAAATAGGAGAGATAAGCAGAGAGGTCATGAAAGGATGCTAGAACAAGCATATCTTAATGAAGGGGCAGCTCTGTGACACAGGCACTGCTGTGCGACTCATGTAGATGTGATACCAGGGGCCAGCGCATGATCTTGTCTCTCCATAGGTCCTGATGTCAATCATTTGCAAGTGTGCAGAACAGAGTCTCATTTGACATTCATATGCAAACTTTAGGAAACTGTCATCCTAACCAAAGGCACTCACTTGTGGAGACAAGCCTTCCCTCAAACGTCAGGAATTAGCTTTGAACTAAGCTGCCTTGAAAATTATCGGTGGTGGAGCAGGGTGGACTGGAACCGGCTGTCAATCTGAGCACCGAAAAGGGCCCGGCCACGCGGCTCAGAAGAACCAGTGTGCAGGGATGGAATAAAGTTTGCCTATCGAGACTCTCCGCTTCACCAGCCATCACCCTTCATATTGTAGACTTAAGATAATTAAGGATTATCGCCGTCCGGGCTGCATAAAGCCATAAATACACAATTTCATAAGCAATAAGATTAGCAGGTTGGGAAATGTATATATATTCTGGGAACGTTTAATTGCCTAAGGAGCATCCGAGCCGGCTCTTTAGGATTTTGATTATGTCGGATGTGACAGAAGGAACTGGTACCGATAATGGGACAGGGTGGGGGGGCTTGGACTTACACTGCTTGCAGTCACGGCCGATCCAGCCCGGGGGACATATGCATTCACCCGTGATGGGGTCACACGGAGCATCACTATTGCAGCTGCACTGCAGCAAGCAGTTTTTTCCATGGTAACCAGGAGGACACGCTGGAAAAGAGAGAGACACACAGCACTTGTCACTTAGATGTATTAACTCAAACAAAGGGAGAGAACATCTCTGGTCGTGAGCCACTCCTTATGATCCGCTGTGATGGAAGGGAATGGGGGAAAAGAATAATGTATCCCACAACTACTGCAATCCATGCCCCTCACAGCTAACACACACCTTACCAATGACCCCTGGAGCCACACCAGTCACTATGAGTAGGAGTAGCACAGAGAAGCATTTCCACGCATTCTGGTATTTTGATGGTTTCACACCTGTGCACTTATCTGTGTGTGTTGTTTTCCGGGAACTTACAAAACAATTCGTTTATACTCAACTGATGGAGGGTTACAAAAAATGTTTAAGATCCAAATATTATTTATTAATTTTGTACATTTTTAGAACACCTGTATGCCGTCTTGCTCTGCTCGAAGTGACACACAACTAAAACAAGAAAAACGAGACAAGAAAGAAGAAGAAGAGATTGGATTTATACCCCGCCCTTCAGTACCCAAAGGTGTCTCAGAGCGGCTTACAAACTCCTTTCCCTTCCCCTCCCCACAACAGACACCCTGTGAGGTGGGTGGGGCTGAGAGAGCTCTGAGAAACTGCTCTTTTTCAAGAACAGCTCTTATCAGAGCTACGGTTTGCCCAAGGTCATCCAGCCAGATGTAAGTGGAGGAGTGGGGAATCAAACCCGGTTCTCCCAGATTAGAGTCCACGCAGTTAACCACACCACCACACTGGCTCTCCAAGTCAATAGAAACAAGCCGACATGATGAAATGCAGTGGTGGTGGAAAGCAAAGTCACAGCTGGCTTTGGGGGTTGCTGTTTTAGTTTTGGTTTTTAAACTGAAAACGTTTTTAGCTGTTATTGTTACTCACCTTGAACGACAAAGAAATGCGGGATATAAATGTTTTAATAAGTAATGAATCTGTTATGGCAACCCCATAGGGTTTTTAAGGCAAGAGACGTTCAGAGGTGGGTTGCCATTTGCCTGCCTCTGCGTTGCAACCTTGGACTTCCTTGGTGGGCTCCCTCCTAAGTACTAACCAGAGCCAACACAACTTAGGCTCTGAGATCTGATGGGATTGGTCTCCTCTGGGCCATCCAGGTCAGGGCTTAAGTAACATAAAAGCATTTTATTCCCCACCCCCACATTAAAACTAGACAAATCCACTCCTGAACAAAGTTTAACTCCAGTGGCACCTTGAAGACCCACAAAGTTTTGCTCTGGGTATAAGCTTTTGTGTGCATTTTACATGCTGGGCAACAAACCGCCCAGTCTTTGGATCCCATGGTGCTCTTTGGCCCTGCCTGTGACTCACACTCAACCTGCCGGAGCTACACGCTTTTAAAAATAAAAGGACAATAGAAATGACCTGCTGTAGACACTGCAAAACGAATTAAATCCACAGCTTTCGAAATAAACCCTATTGACTTGTTCCACAGAAGCACGAACAATTACTGAAAGGGTGTGCATGAACTATAAAACAAACAAGGAAGCCTGAGCTGAAACTAATCCTAGCTTCATAAAAACAAACACAATTGGCAAAGCACGGATGTTATGTTAATTTTTGGAAAGCGATCTGGGAATTCTGCTTAAGTTTTCCTGGTCCTACCCAAGACCAGGTTTTGAAATTTCAGACTTTCCCCCCCCCACAATGTTTAATGATGTTCCACTCCAGAGCCAGCACTGACTACCACCACCTCCACTTCTAGGTCCTGCAATGGCACTGAGGTTTAGACCTCGGAGTGAGGGGCTCAACTGTAAATACTCAGGAACTCATTTTGAGCTTAGTCCAAACTCAAAAAGGCCAAGGGTGCCAGATGCCCAACATGTCCTGTTTCAAAGGGCAGCACTGCCTTTTGTTGGTATTTTTGTTTCTTATAATTTGGAAACTGAGACTACATTCAGATGACACCACAGGCTAACATTAAACCCCTTCCCTCCCTCCTTGCACAGAAAATGTCAATTAGAAGCTTCTGCAGTTACCTACAGGTACAGGTGGAGGAATGTACAGGTGGAGGCATGTGTGCTACCTGGGTTAGCTCCCCCTCAAATTAGGATTCTAATCCTGGTTTTGAAGGCCAGTGTCAATGGAGGGAATGGGGAACTAACTCTAGGTAATCCAGATATCTGCATTTGCATATATCGTGGGTACCCTAACTTAAATGGCCCAAGGTTGCCTCAACTCATTAGAACACAGAAGCTAAATAGGGTTTAGGTCCTGGCTAATGATTGGATGGGAACCAATGAGAAAGTCCCAGATTGCTATGTAGAGGCAGGCAATGGCAAACCATCATTGTTCCTCTCTTCTCTTCGAAATCCTATGGGGGTTGCCATAAATCAGCTGTGAATTGATGGACACTTTCCACAACCATATATAATGGGTGCCTGGAGTTAGTTTGCAACCAGGTATTCTCCACTGAAGAAGAGAGGCACATTCAGGCAACAAGCCAGGTTCACACACATCTCATCTTTGTGTCACCTTGTCTTGACACCTGAGAAGGGATCCCTTGCCAATGTTGAGCCCACTAGGCTTTAGCAAACAGTGACATGCATGTAGAAACAGGCTACAGAATGGGATCCCTAGCAGAATTTTCAGATAGGTAATACATCCGTGGTACTCATCCCTGATCCCCCAAGTTGGATTGGAAGGCTCCTTTGCTGAAAGTCAAAATCCTGATAATTAGCTGTTTTGGAATGAGGGGAGAGCTGATTACCATCTCCTCTGCTGCCCTTTGTAATCAAACAGGTAATCTGCAGGATATCAGGTTTTAATGGAGAGAGCTACACACATAAAAACATAAGAGAAACCATGTTGGATCAGGTCAATGGCCCATGAAGTCCAACACTCTGTGTCACACAGTGGCCAAAACCCAGATACCTTCAGGAGGTCCATCAGTGGGCCAAGAACTCCAGAAGCCCTCCTACTGTTGCCCCCCAAGCACCAAGAGTATAGAACATCACTGCCCCCGTCATAGTGTTCCATCTATACATTGTGGCTAATAGCCACTGATGGATTTCTGCTCCATATGTTTATCCAGTCCCCTCTTGGAGCTGTGTAAACTTGTAGCTTGCAGCAGTGAATTCCACGTGTTATTTACTCTTTGGATGTAGAAGTTCTTCCTTTTATCTGTTCTAACCTGACTGCTCATTAATTTGAGTGCCCATGAGTTCTTGTATTATGAGAAAGGGAGAAAAGTGTAGCCCCAATGCATTCCAAAGTAGGAGCTACTTTTTTAAAGGGTCATGCATACACACAAACCTGGGCATACTCAGTGGATCAGAACCTTAAGATGATGTCCAACATTACAGTGCAAGAAGAGCAGCAATGAAATCAAATATTGCACGATGGATAAGAACGTGCTTGGAGAACGGGGCATGACCAAACAGGAAGTTAATGTACCTTTCTGACACTTGCTTCCCTCATAACCTGGTTTACAGATGCAAGAACCATTCCTGGGATTGCAATCCAAAGTGTTCTCTTTTAAGCACCGGCATTCTTCTGAGCATCCTACTCCAAAGACCCATTTGGGACAAGCTGCAGTCAGAAAAAGGGGGAAACTCTTAACATTATTACTAGGTGGCTATGACTCAGTGCCATTACAGAGAGTCAAGGCAATGGGGGCAAATCAATCAATGCTGGTCTACAATTCCAGTGTAACCCAAAGAAAGTGATTAAGGGGCAGAGGAAGGAAGGAAGGAAGGAAGGAAGGAAGGAAGGAAGGAAGGAAGGAAGGAAGGAAGGAATATTTGCAAGCTTAGAAATAATGCCATAATTTCTCATAAACTATATTTTTCAGACATTAAATACTTTCCTTATATTGGCCAACATGATTGGACTTACTTAGATGACAAAAGCGACCGTACAACCCAGGGTCACACAAACAAGCTCCATACAGTCTGTGACAATATCCACTGTGAGCACAATGACATTTCTTGTTGCAGTGCTTCCCATAAAGTCCTTTGGGACAACCTGACCGATATGGAGGGGGGAATAAGACAACACAAGAAAACAGAGGGTTGATATGAACAAAGGCACTGTTTTCTATTATTTTAAAAATATTAGTAGAATGCTCATTTGTGGCAGGAAGGTATGTGTATTGCCAGGATGTGTTTGGTCTAGATGATTTTTTAAAAATCCTAGATAGTTTTTATTTTGGTCTGTATGATATGTTTATTTTTGTACATTTTAAAACTTACACATCTATATCTAAATCCAGCATATTTATTGAAGCATAATTGTTTTGCTAGGATTATACATGATCTTGCAACCTTCTTTGTCGTATGGCATGTCAGTTGCAGGTTTAGCTCCCTCTGTTTTAGTTTCGGGTTGGACTCTCAACCGTGTCGCAGAAACAGGGAAATTTTGGCTCTGTTTCCAACCAGGCCCCACTTCAGAGCAGAAGTCACCAACCTTTTATAATTAAACAGCCAAACTACATCAAAATTCACAGCAAGAATTCAACAAGTCATACAACTTAATATTACTGATATTGACATTTTGATGAATAATCCATAAAGGTTCTGCTGCCCAAACACTGGTTGCTGTGAATCCTTTATTAGAAAGTGACACACAAGGTCTCACAATAAATAAATATTCACAGGAGCACCTTGAGCAATTGTTGTAGTGCACTGTCATAAATCTGTGCATGGTTCATACCTGGCAACTGTTCCCCTCTCTCATTTCCCTTTCTGTAAAGCATCTCCAAGAAACTCTTTAGTCCAATATAAAATCTTTGCCTGCCGTTCCCTTCCCATACTGGTTATTCTAGCATCCCACCTACCACTCCAGTATACCTTAAAGATTTCATTTTCTTTCTTTTTAAGAGCCACATTTGGATCTGTACTGAGCCACATTTGATGCTAGAGCCATAGATGGCAGAACTCTGCTTCGGAGGCATTGGAGTCATTGTACAAAAGAATCAGAAGAAATCAGCTACCTAAACTCTGGCATCCAGAGCCTCTCTTTTACAGAAATTACCCCATTAAGCCCCAGAATGGGTCATTATGTCTATTTTATACTGACAGAGCCTTTATATTACACATCAATGCCAATTAAAAAAGACAATGGTCAACACCACAAGTAATCGTAAGGAAGCCAGCTGTAAATGCCAAGATAAACAATAAAATTCTGACCATCTTCACAAAACTCTCCATTAATTCCTGGTGGGCAACGACACTCCCCAGTCGCAGGGTCACAGGAACCTCCATTCTGACACTTGCAGAGGCTGCTACAATCTTTCCCGTAGGTCCCAGCGGAGCAGGCTGTAATGAAAGCGTAGAAGACGAATGGGCAAACCTACTTTCCCCCTGCATTGGGGATGAGGAGAAATTATGTTTCTGCTATTGTGCTGGAGTGAGATGGAGCTATTAGGGAACGGTTTAACACAAACAGCCCACATGCGACGCCGTGCTGGAGCAGATTCCACAAACAACAACATTAGTCTCCTTGCTACCACGCGCTGTAGTTGATTGCAACGCATCACGCTGATGTAGCTATGTGATATAAAGAGGGCGGGCTGGATGCTGTAAATACGTTTGACTAACAGTGGTCCTTTCACCTGGCAGAAGGCACCTTCCTGAGACACAAGAAGTGGGACGGATCCACAGAACCCTGGCTGGGTGGCTGGTAGCAGCAACTACATTCTCTTCTTTGCTTGCCTTCTGCGTCAGGACATCAGGTCCCTATGACCACCACTACTTGGCTCACTCAAAAGGAACCCAGATGAATGGTGAGGGAAAGCAGCTGATGCCAGCCTAGGCTGCTCTCACGCCACGGTGGCCAAGAAATGGCAAGCCTGCAGGGGAGAACCAAGGGAGGGCTTCTAGTGTCCTGGCCCCACTGGTGGACCTCCTGATGGCACCTGGTATTTTTGGCCACTGTGTGACAGAGTGTTGGACTGGATGGGTCACTGGCCTGGTCCAACATTGGCATCTCTTATGTTCTTCTTATGTTCCTTGCCACAGACAAAAGAGAGAGGGAAGGCAGGAACTGCTCTCAGAACATGATTGTTGAGGCAGTAGTGGGTTTCCCTGAGGCTGGGGCCATTATTGGATACCTGAAGGTTCTAACACCAGTTCTGATGTCCTAATCCATCACTGGTGAGCTGCACTTGGCAAGGTGGGTCGTGTTGTGCAAGCCTATCTGCAGTCACACACACTAAATAACGCACTTCCACTTTCAATCCACTTTGCAACTGGATTTTGCTGTGTGAAGTGGATTGAAACAGCATTATTTCGCATGTGTGAGAGAGTTCTATGTTAGACTGCATGAACCCATCATTGGAGACAGGGCCATTGTTAAACTGTAGCAATCCTTTGCAACAGGATGGTCTTGACCACACTGGAAAACCCGGTTGAGAATGACTGATGCAGCACAACAACAGTACAATATGGGTAGATGCAACCTTAAGTACAGTCACAGCCTTCTAAGCCCACTGATTCCATTGAATTTGGAAGGGTGTAACTATGTTTATGATTGCACTGCTGGAGCATGTTGAAACAGTGATAAATGTTACTACATGCTGATGGGCAAGCTAACCAAGGGAAAAGTGAGCAAGGGACCATGAACACACATGAAGCCGCCTTATACTGAATCTGACCATTGGCCCATCAAAAATCAATACTGTCTTCTCAGACTGGCAGTGGCTCTCCAGGGTCACATCATCTTCTACCTAATCTTTTTGACTGGAGATGCCAGCGTCCTTCTGCATGTCAAGCAGATGCTCTACCACTGAGCCATGACCCCTCCCCTTTTTTGGTGAGAAGCAGAGGTGGCTTGCCATCATCGCCTTCCTCTGCAGATTCTTCCTTTGTGGTTTCCCATGCAATACCAACAAGATATGACAACATCAGGCTATACCATACCATTCCACATTCCACCTTAACTAGTAGTTCAGGGATAACTGACATCTGTAGTAGTTATTGTCCCTCCCACATCCTGGGAGTTGCTGGCTTACTTTTCATGATTTTTCTCACACATAAAGTTACCTTCTACTGGTTTTTTTTTTTTTTTATTTATTTATTTATAAGTATTTTTACCCCGCCCTACCCCGCGAGCGGGCTCAGACCAATGGGCAGTATTGTCTACTCAGACTCCAGGGTCCTAGGTAGAGGTCTTTCACATCACCTACTGGAGATGCCAGAGATTGAACCCAGGACGTTCTGCTTGCCAAGAAGTTACTCTACCACTGAGCCATGGCCCCTCCCCACTGGAGAGGTTCCATTTTTTTTTTTCAAAGTCCACTCCCAAGAGCACTAAGAACTGCATGCATGACCATTTGCTGGCCATTAAACATATGCACAATGATTGGAAAAGTACAGGATTGTGCTACTTTTCTACCAAAAGACTCCAAGAGCTAGAGGTCACCCTCAGTAATACTTGAAGTACAGTTACATTGAAAAAATAACAACAACAACAACACTTGAAAGCCTTGGGAATGTCTCCAAGTGTACAATACTCACTTTCATTACAGATAATGCCAGTCCAGCCAGGTGGGCAGTCACAGCTGCTGTTTTCGCTGTTGCATTTTCCTCCATTCATACAATCAGAACAGTTTAAGCTGCAGTCACTGCCAAATGTGCTATCCAGGCAAACTGGGATGGGGAAAAAAGCACACAGCTTAATTTGATTCAGTGTTCAGCGTTCGCACAATATTTACACTGTATTTGTGTTTTTTTCTTACTACAAACAACTGCATTCAGCAGTCCTAAACCAGTAGCCAAGTAAAACCCAAGGATGGGGGTTTTTGAAGGCAGAGACAAGCTTCGTTGGGACAAGATAAGTAGATACAATCCCAGTAGCAAATGGAAAGTAGTGTGAAACCGCTGATGCCTGCAATGCTGGGATCAGTAGTAGTTTGGACCTGCCTCTGTGAGATGGCCGTTACAGGGTGTAGCCACAGAGTCTGTAGATCAGCATTACCTTTAGAGTGATGTTCCACAGTCTGAACCCACTACGGTTTGTACCACATTAGCTCACTGGACTGTGACTTCTGTTTTAATCATACAGTTCTGGAGTTGGACAGAGGATCCTTATGGGACATCTATAGCCCAAGATCCCACTCAACACAGGAAATATAAAGCTAGACCACTTCCAACAAATGACGTCAGTTTTGGCCAGAAGGCTTCTGGAGAGAAAGAATCCACACCCAACATAACTGGTTCTGTTGTTGAACTGCTCTTGCAATTTCAATCAAAATGCCGCCACCCAGCTTTCTTCTTTCCAGGCTAAAATACCCAGCTCTTTCAAACTTTCCTTGTAGGATTTGTTTTGATCATTCAAACCTGTTCTAATTTGTCACGCCAGGATTTGAAGAGATGCTCCTTTTAAATTGCTGGTATCTCCTGTTCCCTTGTGAGCGCCAGGTTTCTGTTGAGTTCAGTCTCTTCCCAAAGGTCTCCTTCCTATCTGAGTAACTCCTTCACTCTACCACCAAAGGTCTACCACCCCACTGGTGGACCTCCTGATGGCACTGGTATTTCTGGCCACTGTGTGACACAGAGTGTTGGACGGGATGGGCCTTTGGCCTGATCCAACATTGGCGTCTCTTATGTTCTTATGTCTTATAAGCACCAGAGAAAATTCTTTTGTCATCTTCGAGACTATTTTATTATGGCATAAGCTTTCATGAACCAGAGCCTCCCTACATCTTCATATACACGTGAACACAAGAAGCTGCCTTATACTGACTTGGTCTGCCAAGGTCAGTACTGTCTACTCTGACTGGCATCATCACTCCATGATCTCATGCTGAGGCCTTTCATATCACTTACGATCCGATCCTTTTTAATGAGGATGCCGGGGATTGAACTGTGGACCTTTGGCATGCCAAGCAGATGCTCTACTACTGAACCATTGCTACAACCTTATTGTGGCTTCTGCCACAATAAATTCATTAGCCTGCTGTTTTGGTTCCTGGAGACTAACACTAGGGCTACCCCCTCAGCAGTTCTTCTAATCGGAGCTGGTCCTCCATTGCATGGAAATACACCACTACTCTGCTTGCTTTGAAAATCCAAAACACTTTTCAAAAAGTTATCTCACCGGTTGTATGCTCAAGAGAAAGTTCTCCGCGGACATCTTGCTCCTGATCCTCATAGAAGGAATCGAGTGATGTACTGAAATGAAGGAGCTGAGGCAGTTTCCTGAAGCGAAGGTAGGGAATGTTGGCCTCCTCCAGCTCTTCCTCTTCTAACTCCTCACCATCTAGTAATAAGTGTAGAGATGCAACTCTTTTTCAGCTAAGAAGACACACGTTAGTTTTGCATACAGCACAGTCTACATCAATAAATAAACTGTACTTATTAATACCCTGACTTGGATGGTCCAGGCTGGCCTGATCTTGTCAGATCTCGGGAGATAAACATGGTCAGCCCTGTTTGGTACTTGGATGGGAGACCACCAAGGAAGCCCAGGGCTGCTCTATAGAGGCAGGCAATGGCAAACCACTTCATCTCTCCCCTTGAAAACCCTACAGGTTTGCCATAAGTTGGCTGTGTCTTGAGGGTACTTTCCACCACCACCATTATAATAGGAAATAAAAATATAAATCAGCAAAGCCGTTTATCTTTAGATAATCCGTGTGGAGTGGCGGGTTGGATGTTGGATGGGAACTGGGGGAGATTCAGATTCAAACACTGGCTCTGCCAGGGAAAGCACTATGTGACCTTGGACTAGTCATGCTCTTTCAGCCTCACTTACCTCACAGGGTTCTTGTGACAATAAAATGAATGTGCACGTGTGGGGGGCGGGCTGACCTCATTGCAGGAAGTGCATGAATAAAAATGTACCAGTTAGATTAATCTTTGGATAGGTTCTACATTGTGGCTTCAGAGAAATCTAGTTCTGAAAATGGATAGTTCCAAGAATTTATTCTGGGAATGAATGAGTTAAGCATCGAGTACCAAACCACATGCTAGGGCACTAGCATTCTACAAAAGAACCAAGAGTGTGCCAAGATGTACATATTAATTAAAAGGCACCCTGTGAACTCAAAGTACCTTCTTGCATTACCCCTCTGACATTGCCTCTCTTCAATCAGCCTCCTCTGGTGAAAGGTGGAGGCAGGTAATTCTGCCACATCTCTACACAATTGTATTGAGACAGAGATGGAGCAGAATTATCAGCCTGTGCAAGTAAGACAACAGCATGGTGTAGTGACTGGAGTGTCGGACTCAGCTCTGAGAGACTCGTGTTCAAATTCCCACTCTGCCATGGAAGCTTGTTGGGTGACCCTGGGCTAGTCACACACTCTCAACCTAACCTGCCTCCCAGGGTTGTTGTGAGGGTAAAATGGAGAAGGGGAGAATGACAGAAGCCACTTTGGGTCCTCATTGGGGAGAAAATTGGGGTTTACATAAAGTAAATAAACAACACAGAAACAAAGGGGGTGGACTTCTTAGAAGGCAGGTAGTTCTCTTCTCTCACACACAAACAAATCATTATGGGTGTACAAGTGACACGGGTCTCTAATGTTCATTTAGGGGGAGAAAGTCTAGAAAACACGGAGTTAACAACTGCGACAATCACCTGCACCAGGTGCATGGACAAAGTCTGCCGGAAGGACCCTCTGAATATGCCGGTGTTTTGTTCATTGCCTGGGTTATGTTGTGCATGCACTGAATAGCCCCTTCAAATTGCTTGTCAACGAACAATGTGAGATTTCACACATCATTGCTTAACCTATCTTAAGAAGGCTAATTATGGTGTCCTGCAAAACAAAGCTTTTAGATAGGCCATTTGTCACTTGCACAGGGTAATCGGAGCTTTTCTTTAAAAAGTGCCTACCAAGCAAGCTGCTATCTATCAGCCTTAAATTCCATTGATTTCTGGGTGACACACACACCACTGGGCCACAGCCAAAGAGAGCACAAATAATTTGAGACGTGGCGTCTGAACCAAAGGCCTGCAATACCCAATAGGGATACATTTTGTTCTAAGGGGGACACACAAGTAAATTAAAAGCCAGTATTTACACAAAATCATACTTTGAAATGAATAGATCATCACAGCCAACAACACATTTCAGCCCTGAAACAAACAAGCCAGGTAGAAATGAAAAGTTAAAATTTTGGTTTCCCACACTTCAACATTAAAGGAAGCTGGTTTGGGAGTTCAGCTCCACAATACATCGAGGATTTCAGCAATATCGAGCAGAGAGTTGCCATCAGCATGCCCCAAGGTGGAGCTGGTGGCAGAGCCCACAGCTGTCTTCTGGTGGAGCCTACAGCTGCCATGACTGCTCCCACACCTCCCTGCTTCCCCAGTGTGCCACTCCACCACATATGTGGCCACATATGTCATCAGGGCAAAGTCATGGAGGCAGTGTGTGAGGCTGGGTGTGAAGATGGTTGGGAGGGCTTGCAAGTGAATGGGTATGGCCACACAGGCAGATGGAGGCGGAGGTCACATGGGGGTGAGCGGGAAGGGGAGGTGCAAGCAGTTGCAAACAGGTGGTACAGCAGAAGGCATAGGAAGGGTGACCCTGGGCATCCTCTTCCCATGTCCCTTTAGAAACTGGGACCGGCCCTGAACCATTTGAATGAAAACAAGATCCCTCAAAAGGGACTTAAAAAAAAAAAAGAACATATGCCCTTAACATGCTTCAGTTTCCATTTATTAATCCCAGTTATAACTTCTAAATTCCTGGTAAAGGTAAAGGTAAAGGTTCCCTTGCTCGAAAGCCAGTCGAATCCGACTCTAGGGTTGCGGTGCTCATCTCCGTTTCAAAGCCGAAGAGCCAGCGCTGTCCGAAGACGTTTCCGTGGTCATGTGGCCGGCATGACTAAACACCAAGGCGCACGGAGCGCTGTTACCTTCCCACCGAAGTGGTACCTATTTCTCTACTTGCAATTTCTTGCTTTCGAACTGCTAGGTTGGCAGGAGCTGGAACTAGAGATGGGAGCTCACTCCATCATGCGGCACCCGGGTCTCGAACTGCTGAACTACTGACCTTCCACAGCCTGCAGTTCAGCGTCTTAACCGCTTGAGCCACTGCAGCTTTACCTTTAAATTCCTGGACAGTGACTCAAATTTGCATTCAGGAAGACTGTTCTCCTGATTCAACAGAATTACTTACAGCTGCAAGAGTGTCTGTCAATGCCCAGTCGGTACCCCTCCTCACACACACATTCATAGGAACCCAAGGAATTGATGCAGCGCTGGTCACAACCATGGGTGTCAGTGAGGCATTCGTCTGCATCTACAATACGAATGAAGCAAAGTCAGGCAAGGAGGCAGCTGAGGACGAGGAGGAAGTGAAAGCAGAGCTGGGCATTATTTAAAATGTTCCCACTCCGCCTTCCTGCAAACCTTTAGGCGGCTTTCAGCCTGATTACAACCTAATCAACAACCTGATCAACAACTCATGATCAGACAATAAACAAAAACACAACAGAACAGAAAGCAGCACAAATGGTATCAAACATCCTTTGACTGCTCCGTGCTACTTCTGAGGCTTGACAACATGCCATTCCTTGTCTCCTCCCCTGGTCTGCCTGACCACATGATGTGGGCTGTAACTTCCATGGTGGCAACATAATTCCTAGGCATGCACAGACCTGATTTGGATCAGGACTGCAGAGCAAGTAGGGAAAGGAGGCTCAAGTCTTCCCTCTGTGCCTTTTTCTAACCCGATGTAGTCCCAAGTGGGCACGACTGCCCCATTAGGGAAACCTAGGAGTACCTCGTCAATACATGCTCTGATCTGGATGGCCCAGGCTGGCCCAATCTGGTCAGATCTTGGAAGCTAAGCAGGGTATGCCCTGGTGACTACTTGGATGGAAGACCACCAAGGAAGCCCAGGGTCGCTGTGGCAATGGCACACCACTTCTGAACATCTTTTGCCTTGAAAACTCCAGGATCACCATCAATGTTCCCTCTAAGCTGTGGAGTCTTGTGAGCAAAAATTCTACTTTGTGAGAGACTGGCACTAAAGTTGCGAGTGAGCCATTTGGCTGCGGCATGAATTAGTTTGCTCTGGAGCCATCCTTCCTGAGCTAAGACAGAAATGGGTGAGCCGGAGGCTAAAAAACGGTGAGCTAGCTCACACTGACTCGGCTTAGAGGGAACACTGATCACCATAAACTGGCCAGTACATGTGGAGCCCCCAATAGGGGAAACAGTGCTCTATCAGGTCCATTTCAGGTCAGTAAAATGGCATGGGGTGGGAAAGTCCCTTTCACTATGTGCTGTGGCTCTGATCCTGTTCTACAAGTCTGCAACAGGCCTTCGGGGTGCATTGTGACAGTGCCTAACGAACTTTAAGTGCTTACCATCACACCCGCAGCCATCAAGGTTAAGCCGGAATCCGGCCTTGCAGCTGCATTCGTAGCCTCCGATGTAGTTGACGCAGAACTGTGAACAGCAGGCATCTCCCGTCTCACACTCATCCAAGTCTGCAGGAACCAAGGGAAAAAAATTCCCATGAAAAGGTTCAGAGAAGAAACAAAACAAAGAACGCAACACACAGGTGAGCAATGGCAAAAACGGGGGCTGCTACGCACAGGAAGGCCATGGCAAAACACCCCTACTCATCTCTTGCCTTGAAAACCCCAAGTGGTGGAACTTAATGGGGCTGCCATTGTTGGAGAAGTGACAGCCTGCGAGAAGTCTGATTATTGTGAATGCTGCTGAATGAGTAGTTTAGTCAACTTGTACCCTAGGGGGAGCTGTGGAGCATTCTCTAGTGTTTAGGGCAGGGGTGTCAAACTCATTTGTTATGAGGGCTGGATATTACATAAATGGGACTCTGTTGGGCTGGGATATAAATAGGGAAGCCAACCTCCAGGTGGGACCTGGGGAACTGGAATTACAACTGACCTTACAGCTCCCCTTGAGAAAATATGGGTGCACGAGTTAATCAGTTAATCTCCCCACAAACCAGCATTGTAGGTTTGCCCATATCCAGGTAGTGGCTGGAGGTCTCCTGCTATTACAACTGATCTCCAGGCAACAGAACTCAGTTCCCCTGGAGAAAATGGCCCATTTGGAAGGTGAACTCTATGGTATTATACCACACAGAAGTTGCTTCCCTTCTCAAACCCTACCCTCCTCAGGCTCCACCTCCAAAATCTCCAGATATTTCCCAACTGAGGTATTTCCCTATAGCAGGGGTGTCAAACATGCAGCCCGGGGGTCGGATCAGGCCCGCAGTGGAACTGGCTGTCTTCTGCTTCTTCTTCCAGTTCTGCTGCTGCTGCTGTGTCATTGTAGGTTTGCAGCTTACAGATACACACCTGAACAACACACTCAGGATTGTAACAGCACAGACATTTTGATGCAATAATTTAGAGCAAGAGGTGTTAGTTATCAGACACTGTTAAATAAACAAAATATTGCGAGAGTGCTAATGTTTTAAGCATGTTTTTATTTTAAGTAAAAAAAACCCCGCTTTGTGATTGTGTCCTTTATAAAGTTTATATCTCCGCTACCTGGCATTACATTTTATGACACACATGGCCCGGCCCAACAAGGTCTCATTTATGTCAGATCCGGCCCTGTAATGTATTCAGAAGCTGCCTTGAATGCATTAGATGTAATGTGAAACATCTCATTAGGAAGCTATGTTAAGCTTCATCTTGGACAGGGATTCAAGTCCAAGACAAATGTGTCCAATCACGTTCAAAAAGACTGTAAGCGGGAACGACGTTGATTGGCTCTTATTCACTCAACCGTATTGGTTGTTATGTGTACAGTAGGCGTGGCTACATTAGCCGGGAAATGTTTAAATACCGAACAGCTACTATGGACAAGCTGTTCGGGCTATCAGATGTTGTACCATGTTGGAGAAGTGTTCGTGTTGCAGATTAAACTTGAGTTTTGGCTGAAATCACTCTCTGACTATTTGTTAAGCTCAGGACTTAACAGGCCCTCATAACAAATGAGCTTGACACCCCTACCCTACAGCATTGTAAACTGGGATAAATCTCTGATTTAGAATCCCAGGCGGGGTGGGGGAATTCTCAGATTAACCCATGCTTTTGCATGCACATATTAGGTGTAACTGGTGTTATCTGTGTAATGGGAAGGGGAGGAGAAGGAAGGGTTAAGGTTTGTGTGCAAGCTTGGCACTAAACTGGATTAAGGGACATCCCAGCTTCATGTCATTTAAATGTAATGTCTGAATGCATCTATGACATGCTTTTAGTAAAAAAAAAATCAGCATGTAAATTTTTCAAAGCAATTACCACTATTTTTAAAAAAGGACAGCTACAGTGATTGTTGACAACTCATTGACTTTGTGACACACCGTGACTTTGCTGTAGCTGGAACGGCACATGTCCTAAAACTGCTGACCCGTTATGATGAAACAAGGCAAAAAACGAACCTCAGATTGATCCAAAAGATTTGCTATCTGAGAGGTAGTTGCCCAGCGCTGAATTTGCAGAATGCCATTGAAGGAAGCAACAAGAAAAGCAAAAGGTCAGCATGGCAATTAACCTTGGAAAGGGCACTAACATTATTAGGGGAATGCAGTCAACAAGGAGAGAGAAGGAAGAGGAAGTGTGTAATCAATCAGTGGAGGTTAGAGGCCGGTGTGAAATTGATTAATGCAGGTTATTGGAACTGGCAACGGTTGCTTCCTCTGAAAATGTCACAAAAAGGCTCCCCGGTAATATTTCAGATCATATCAAAGCTTCCCCGGTTCTATTAAAGCCTACCGCGCCTTGCTTCCACCTCCCGTAATAGATTTTAACTTCTGCTGCTGAAGAGTCTGCATCTGCTACCATCTCATCCTACTTAGTTACCTCAGCTTTAATGTAGCCAACTAGTTACATCCTGGCAGACGTTTCTATTTCCATTAGCTGTTGGTTAGTTATGCTGGATTCTATGTGCAGAGCTGCTACACTGGAAAAGCTTAAGAGTATGGAACTTTTCAGTTTAGAAGAAAGGTAACTGGGTGGGGGGCTTGACAGAGGTTTATAAAATTATGCACCGGGTAGAGAAAGTGGCCAGAGAGAGTGAGCTTCTCCTCTCTCTCCCATAATACTAGAACTCGGGGCACCCAATGAAGGTGTTGGGCAATAGATTCAGGGCAGACTAAAGGAAATGCTTCTTCAGTCAGCGAGAAACTAAATTTTGGAATTCAAAATTTATGCCCATGAGCATAGAAGGTTCCAAAGAGGGATTAAACCCCCCCAAAAAAGAGCAGTGGAAAAATTAATCTTAACTCAGCTCTGAGACCCCTATGCATTTCACATACACTTCATTGGGGGGATCTGAAATAAATACATGGATATATTAAAAAAAACTTAAAAGCATTAATTAAAAAGCACACTTCTAAAATACAGAAAAAAGAGCATAAAAAGAAAATAATCAGTGCAGCTCTTCAAAAGCTGTTGGGTATTACAAGTTGAAAACACTCAGTATATCTGGGGTTAAATGTTTGTTTATGTTACTCACAGGAAGTCACATGTTTCTCATGTAACCAATGTTCTTTAGATGTAGAAAGCCCGGGAATTTTCTCCCTGATCTAGGAATTTGATTGGGACTAAAGTGTCAAGGTATATTACCATTTTATGGCTTCTCTTCCCATCTTTGTTTGGTGTTCTGAAGAACAAGAAGAGCAGCCATAATTTCTCTCTTCTAGTTTTGTCTTTGTAGAGTAAGGATGTAGCCAATTTAGCTCTGTTGTTATTTTCATCCCAGTTACCCCTCCCATGCTAGAATTTAGTAAAAAAAATTATATTTTAATCACACATGGATTCTGAGTCTGAATTATTTTACTTTGGCTCTGCTGGACTATCTTATCTCTGCTAAATACCATTTTTTCAATATCTCACTATCACCCAACAGAAGCTAAAAATCAAAGCATATAATATTAGGCTCAGGGAATTCTTTGGCAGTTCCAGTACAGAGAAAGCTTGTACATTTAAACATAATTAAGAACAAGGTTTTATAAAACATATAAGCTTATGGATGTGTTATAGCTGATCTGGCAAGCTTTTATCTGAAACAAGTGATAGCAGTTCCAGACTTTCATTTAACCCATGACATAAGTTCATAAAATTATGCATAGGGTGGAAAAACTGGATAAAATGAACTTTTTCTCCTTCTCTCATAATACTAGGACTCAGGTGGCACTCAACGAAATTGTTGGGCAGTTAGATTCAGGAAAGAAAAGGAAATGCTTCCTTACTCAATATTGTGGAAGTTGTGGAATTCACTACCAAGGGGCAATATGATGCCCATGAAAACAGATGGTTTCAAAGGAGGATTAAATAGATTCATGGAGGATAGGCCCATCAGTGGCTACTAGCCATGGTGACCTCAATAGCTGAAGGCTGTAAACATCTGAATACCAGTGCTGTGAGGAAGTGTCAGGAGAAAGCCTTGGCTTCTTTGACCTGTTTGTTGCTGGGCAAATAAAAGAGAATGCTGGACTAGATGGCCCATTGGGCTCATCCAGCAGAACTCTTCTTATATTCTTATGTTTCCTGCTGCTCTGAAGAGGTCCTGATCCAGGAAGGGACTGATAGCTACCGATCTGGTCCATAAGACAGTTTGTTTGAGCAAGTTTGTTGCTTTATTGAAGGTTTGCTAGGTTGTATTGTGATATTTTAATCACTCTTGTTACTGGTTTTATCTTTCTGGCCGGTGCCGTTTTTATTAAGTAGTGTGGTATTTATTGTGTTTTTAATAATGTTCGTTAGTCACCTTGGAAAGGCAAGGTTGACATCATTTAAACCAACATACATTGGCATTTGCAATCACTGTTTGGTAGGAATTAAATGAAGTTGTGCAAAAAGGTTGATTGTGTCACTGTCTCTGCAACCCACCCTTGTGGAATAAGCTAGATCAGGGGTCTCCACCCTTTGAGCTTGCAGCTCCCTTTGGAATTTTAAAGGGGGTGCCACCCCAAAACAGCTTCTGCAGGAGGTGGTGCCAAACCCAAAGTGGCTGCTTCATAAGGTGGAGCACAACACAATACCTCTGGAGCTCTTTGCTTTGCAGAAGCAATGCAGAAGGGGAATAAAAAGAAACAAAGGAAAGCCTGGGATGGGCAGGGAGAAAGAACACAGTGAGTAAAAAAGGAAGCAAAGCCTAAAGGGGGAATGGAACCACAAGCTTGGGTACTTACCAGTCTTCCTGATCCTCCAGTGGCTGCTGCTGCCATCGCAGCTATGGAAACCCCTTTCGTATGAATAAGGGCAGCCAATAACAAGCCCTGCTTTCCAATGGCTCCACCCGCTTTCTGAAAAGCTCTGCAGACACTAGGGGAAATACTGGCAGGCACCTTTTGTGTCCATGGGTGATATGTTGGGGAACCCTGAGCTAGACAGTCAGCCTTGGGGAATATTCACTTAAGTGTGACAACCATCATGGCCTGAATCTCTTCTGACAGACAATTACTTCAGCGCTAGACTTGGCCCAAGAAAACCTGGATTCAAATCCTCAGTCACAAAGTTCATGGAGAGATCCTGGGCTAGAGAGTGGTTTGGATCCTGACAAAAGGGTTACTATTGATGGAAGGATTTTCATTAGCAAAGAGTGAATTTCTTGCCTCCCCACTGTTGCTGCTGCTTAAAAAAGCCCCCTGAAATGCCACTCCTGGGGGACAGGGGTTCCCTGAAGTGCAGGATGAGGGAGGAGAGTATTGGAGAACATCACTGCCTTTTCCATTAGCAGAAACGTCAGGAAAGATCCAACCACTATCTCTCACTCTAAGATGGACTACAGGTTGTTGTGAAGGTAAAATGTGAGGGGAAACCCCACTTCATCTTCTCTTGTCCACTGCCTAGATGAATACACATTTTATAGCCTGTAAGTTCTGTAACAGGAGCTGGTGTAGGAGAAAAGGGTATTTAACATGTAAACAGTTTTTTAAAAAATATCTAATACATTTAACACTAATATCAAATAGTTGTGATACTCAATAAACAGTGATATATATATAAAGGGCTAAGTCTCAGGCCACAGTCTCCTTCGAAATGGGATATAATTGATTGAACATCACCTGTGCATGTCTTCCCATCCGAATCCAAAATGTATCCTTGGTTACAAGAACACAGTGGCCCATTGGTTGAATGTTCACAGCGATGAGAACAACCGCCATTGTTGCCTTCACAGCTACTGACGATTTCCATTTCGATGCCTTTCAGGAAAAGGAACAAATCATTGTCAATAAGCAAAGGAGAGAAAGAGGTTGCCCCTTCTAGACCGTAAGAAGGCTGCCGTAGCTTTGCTCAGGCAGCAGAAGTTCACCATGTGTGGCTTTTTCCATCCCTATACTGCAGTGATGGACAGGTTTGCCAGTCAAATGCTGGCAACTGGTGGGAAGTGGATGGGTCTGGTGGTGGAAAGTGCTGTCAAGTCACAGCTAACTTATGGCAACCCCATGGGGGTTTTCATGACAAGAGACATTCAGAGGTGGTTTGCTATTGACTGCCTCCATGTCACAACCCTGGTATACCTTGGAGATCTTCCATCCAAATACTAGCCAGGGATGACCCTGTAAACATGAGGTGGTCTGATCATGGGTGTGACAGTCACATAGATGTGATACCCTAGGATTCCCGCAAAATGCTATGGTTTTACCATAGAGTTGGGGGAGGAGGTCCTAGAGCATCATGCTGAAATGAATACATCACTTCTGGGTTTGTGGAAGAAGTTACACTGGTGTTGAATGAACAAACAAAACTGCATTGTGGGGAGCTAAGGCAGAACAGAGATGCCCAGGATATATACTACACATGGATAACGAATGGTAGTGTGCACTAGGGGATTAAGGCTACTGTTCATGCCTCATGCTGGATATCTTCTCTGCATTTTGCTGTTCTAACTTTACCAGTTTTCTCCACCTGCTGCCAACTGACCTCCAACAGTAATGGCAACAACCACCTTCCACCCTCAGCCGCCCTTCAGCAGCCGAGTAGCAAAGTCAAACCCTTCCCCCATAAATTGTTGGAGTTTGCAAGTTCATCCTTCAATCATGAAAGAGTTAATATGTTTATGTATGCATGCTAATGTTAGCTATTTAGCTAAGTGCCAATTAGGTCTTACATAGAGAAAAGGTGACAATATTTCTAATGATGTAAGTTGTAGAATATCTATTAGCTGATCAGTTTTTTGGGGGGCGCTGCTTGCAGTTTGGCACATACCCACATAGGAAGTGGGGGAACTTTTGGGAAACTTTATCTCCTTTTGTTCTCTCTCACACACAAGGTTTAGCATCCAAACAGTCAACATGGAGCTTAGAACTAGTTAGACAATGAGGAATTTCAGACAGACGATATAATCCGGAAGAGGAACGGTTCCCAGAGGGTTTCTGGTCTGTCATTTCAGACAGAACCGTTTTAGAACCGGTTCCCTACCTGAATATATTTGTAATTTCAGACACAAATGCTTCTGTCCCGTTTAGGAAACGGGGCTGAAGCGTTTTACCTGTCAACCGATTCCTAGTAGTCTTCAGTTTCCTCTCCCGGTTCCGATGCGCTTTTTCCCGCCATTTTTCGCGGGCGATCTCCAGCATTTTTTTGAACATTCACTTTATAGCGTTATAGCACTATAACGCTATGATGAAACAGCAGTATATCAATGCCATTGGAATGCCTGGAGTGTTTTGTTATAGTGCTATAGAGCTATAAAGCGAATGTTAAAAAATAAAAAGCCGGAGATAGCCCGCGTGGACGAAAAACGGTGGGGGAAAAGTGGGAAAAAGCGGTGCAGTCTTAAATGGCAAACCACTTCAGATCCAGGTCTTTACCGGAAGGGGAAAGCCATGTGTGAAATGGCAGCCCTATACCGGTTTACTCCATGACGGATCAAAAACGGCTTCAAAACGGGTTAAAAAGGGTAATGTGAAATTCCTGAGGATGTTTGTTATTTTACAACCAAATGTAACCCTTTTTCTCCTTTATATAGTAAAATCTCTTAAACTAATACATGTGTGTGGCTGCCTTCATATTCTGCTAAATATTCCAACATAAACTACAAATGTACAATTGTAATATATGAATGGGCCTCCTGGAAATATCCTCAGGAGATGTTCCGCCTGTAGAAGTACTTCAGCAAGTTCTACCGCACCTCTTACTGTGCTAAAATAATTTTATACTTTCCCTTGCTGCCTACCACCCTTCAAGCAGCTTCAGTATGGAGTATGAAGCATTTCTATGCTGACAATCCCCTTGCACAAGCGTCGCTCAGAACAACAGAAGAATCAAAAAGCACCAATTTGATGGAGGTAGTCAATGCATTAAATGGCCTTGGATTTCCAATTGTCTTATTATTTTCACTGTTACAGAGTTCTGGGCTGAGTTGGATGACGGATAAGACTGTTTAAGACCATACTATAGCCTTAAGTCGGTGATGAGAGATGATGTCTCGCATATATGAGTTCCAGGTGAGTTTTTCAAATTTCTGACTGCATCCAGGATGTAAAATGAGGACCGTGGAGGCAAAGAGAGTCAGAAAGAAATATTCAGCATAAAAATCAGTAGTCTGAACGTGTTCTTTGGGTAGCTCCAGGAACTCTCAGACACATTATAATTCACCATCTCTCAAAGGTAAATCAGAAGCACGGTCTGCTTCTTAAATGCAGGGGCACAGTTCAGGTTTTTCGAATTCATGTTCATGACCACAGAAACCTGTGGCATGAGCACTGCTACAAAGCTTAGAATTTAATTTACATTTAGGTATGCAGTATCTGTAGAGTGCTAACCGCACTGGCTCTTAAATTAAGCAATACACAACTAAAGGCATACTGTTTCCCAGACCAACATAGCCCCCAAAGGCATTGCTGCAAAAAGGTCACTTACGGTAACATTGCCTTCCATTCGCCCCAAGCTCAAAGCCAGGATTGCAAATGCAGGCAAAGGATCCCAGAGTGTTCGCACAGCGATGAGTACACTTGGCTGTCCCCTCGGCACATTCATCAACATCTAAGAAACAAAAGAGATGGAGGGAAGCATCAGCTTGGCTGTGGACCCTTCAGGGAATTTCCCCCCCGAAACTGACAAGTTTGCCAGTGAATGGATGTGCACTGCATAAGATTCTTGGGCATAGGCAGTGATACCCAGTGTATAGTTCTTGGATGCCATGGTGCCCACCAGTGTGTTTCCTGGCACCCACTTGCTCCCCACCACCAGATTAAAGAGACAATCCAGGCTACCCTCTACCTCACCCAAGCAGGAGGTGCTTCAGAAGACCCCGGAAAACAACACATTTGCATCTGCAGAAAGTGCCCATTCAGAAATAGCTGCTCCCACTATCAGATGACGCTTGAATCGGAACCTCTCAGCATCTTGTAACTGCCACCCAAGATCGCATTTTTTAACTTGTCCCCACCTTCCATGGCTGCCATTTTTTTGGTGGTGCCCAATATCCATTCTCAAAATTCCAAAAGTGCCCATTTGCTTAACAAGGTTGAGGGTGCCTATTCTACGGTGGGGCTTTAAAAGGGAGATTAGACAAGCTCATGGAGGACAGGTCCATCAGTGGCTAATGGCCACAATGCCTTCTTCTTCTATGTTCTCCCAAGTTCAGGGACAATAATCTCCGAAAACCAGAACTGAGGGGAAACCACAGAGGGATGCTTTGGCTTCCATGCCCTGCTTGAAGGCCTTCTGGGGGTATCTGGTTAGCCACTATGGGAGACAGGATGCTGGACTAAATAAAACTAAGAAACACCATGTATAAATCAATATCTACATTTTCCCATTAATGCAACAATAAAGATTTTTAAATCCAACATGTTCTTTTGTGTATCAATATATTGTTAGCAATATCAGAATAATACATTTCATAGATTTCACAAAATTACACAGAGGTAGTTCCAGTAAAGACCACGAGCCAATCCAGAGCCGGCAATCTCAAGAAACTTTGCCATCATTGAATGACGGACGGCGTTGCCGCTAGTAAATTCATTTGTTCAAATAAGTTTCAGTTGGTTCCAATTGGAAGACTGTGACATGCAACCGTGAAGAAGACTGGAAACATGTATACTTCATGGTATACATGTCACTTCATCTTTATATTTTGAGTCCTTAGACACTGTGCTGCATCAACATTATTGAGTACTTAAGAGACTTGTGTACAGCATCATTTATTGCCTTTCCTGAGACTGTTGGCTCTGGATTGGCTCATGGTCTTTGTTAGAATTACTTGTGCATAATTTTGCTGTTGTGCTAATCTGTAAAGTTTGTATTCTATAAGACTTATTATTCTAATACTGCTAAGAATACATTGATACATAAAAGAACATTTTGGATTTTAAAATCTTTATACATCTTTATACATGGTGTTTCTTAGTTCTGTTTATTTCATACATTGTGAATTTCCCTTGTTTTGTTTGATTTGGACTAAAGAAAATGGCTGGGTTAGATCCAATACATCTGCTGTTGTGTGCATGCACACAGAGCTGTGATCCAGCTTATTTGGGCCTTATCATTACCCTGTTTCAATGAAAAAAGTTGTCCTAGAACATACCCAACCTTCTCCTGGAGAGGTAACTTGCAGATGGAGACTGTGGGTGGCAAGTTGTATGTTAGAAAAACAATTGTGCATGTATAAACTGTATACGCAGTTATAGATCTTCTCATTGAGGATCCCATGAGAAAATTCCAAGGAACATCCTTTGGAAATCACTTGTGTATGGTAGTCACCAAGAAATGCATGTATACAGACACCTGACTGAACAGTACTCTTTTCCCCGTTATAACTTGGAAGTGGGGCTCACTGGGATGTAGTGAAGTGAGTGATTGAATCACAGTTGAGCAGAACAGAAAGAAGACTGTGGATTGGAGGCTCCACAACTTTCTGGGATGAATCATGGAAGAAAAGTACCACAGGAACTTGTCCAGATTCTTTGGTTTTTTAAAAAATATTCATGGGTATAAGCCCTATTGTGACCAGAAGTACAGTGGTGACAGACACTTAATCTTCCCCATCTCTTCCAGAGGAAGAGGATGGCTTGTAGGGAGTGACTAAACTCTAAGGGACCACCTCTCTTTGAATGTTCTCTCCCAACCAGCTTCTTAAAAGGAGCTGGGGTGAACATGCACAGTTACAAAAATCACTGAAGCAGTGCCTCCTGTCTTCTGCTTTGAGCCCTGGAGACAGAAAGTACTGGAAAGAAATTTAAGTTACTTTCATACCTAACAAGAAGCCATGCTCTAGTACACACAACAGCTAAACTGATTATAGAAGGAGAAGGCATTTCAGATTTCCATTTTTATTTTCATTTTTGACAAATAATTCTTTACCTGCACAAGACTTCCCATCTGCAGAAAGGTGATATCCAGAATAGCATTCACACTTTGCAACTCCGCTTTCATTTCGGCAGATATGTAGGCAACCGCCATTTCCGGTTGCACAGGGGTCAATCCCTGCAAGCAAACACCAAGAAACTTCTTCAGTATGAGTCAAAAGGTTCTTGCATGAATATTTTACATGAGATTAATTACGAACTGCAACACACACACACGCACTATGAATGGCCCACATCCAACTGACACTATTTGCAACACCTTCAGCAACATCGTAATAATTTCTCTCTTAAGAAAGTCATTCCAGTGGTTTGCCACCAGCAATTTAAGCAGTCCATCTGTCAGACACACTTCAACCTACCTTAAAGTATGACAAAACCAGCCACTGTGTACAATGGTTTAGTGCTCACGAAGTTATTTTCCGAGTGACAAAAAAGGGAAAGAATTAGGAGGATTCTTTTAAAAAAACCTACCCTAATGATATTCTTACTTTCCTGCAGTGCCTAATAGCTTTTTCTAATAGACAGCAGAGATCCAACACAGATGCCTTCTGTGTGCCTCTCTGTCGGCCAACAGTGTTCTGTGCCAGTAGTTCAAAACTGATGATACTTATTCATACGGCCTCTTTTTGCAACTTGGCCTACGCAATGGCTCAAACACGTCTGGGTGGTGGTGGAGGAAAGTGCTGTCAAACCACAGCTGACTTATGGCGACCCCCGGTGGGGTTTTCACGACAAGAGATGTTCAGAGGTGGTTTGCCATTGCCTGCCTCCATGTCACAACCCTGGTATATCTTGGAGGACTCCCATCCAAATACTAGCCAGAGTCGACCCTGCTTAGCTTCCTAGCTCTGACAAGATCAGATTAGCCCGGGCTATCCTGGTCAGGGAAAACATGTCCAGCAAACCATAAGTAAGTACAAAAGAACATAAGAGAAGTTATGTTGGATAAGGCCAATGGCCCATCCAGTCCAACACTCTGTGTCACACTGAACTCCAGAAGCCCTCCCACTGTTGCCCCCCAAGCTCCAATAATACAGGGCATCACTGCCCCAGACAGAGCATTCCATCTATACCTTGTGGCTAATACCCACTGATGGACCTCTGCTCCAGTCCCCTCTTGAAACTGTCTATGCTTGTAGCCGTCCCGTCCCCCACTTCTTGTGGCAGTGAAGTAAATGTGCCATCAAGTGGCAGCTTACTCATGGCAACCCCATGTATAGGGTATTCAAGGCAAGCGATGAGGTTGCCATAGCCTTCCTCTACATAGCAGCCCTCATCTTCCTTAGTGGTTTCCCACCCAAGTACCGACCACAGTCAACTCTACTTAGCTTCCAAGCTCTGACAAGACTGGACTAGTTTGGGCTATTAAGATAAACCATAACTCGTTCTTAATGGCCAGAGATCCTGTCGCCGTGAGGTTACAACAGAGAACACTGCAGAGTCCAGGAGAATATGTGCAACTGTACCTCCAAGAAGGACTTAAGCCCGCCCCGGCCCCAAATGTTTTGCAAGGCTGATGATGAACCTCTAGTTTCCGGAGACTTCAGACACTGTCATAAGCTTTTAGCAAACACCTCAGAGGTGACTAGTAGAAAACAAATCAACTGCACTGAGGAACAGACTGCAACATGAGTCCTGGAAAATGAGCCACCCCTAGGGCTTATTTATTTATTTGACTTATATCCCGCCCTCCCTCGTGGGCTCAGGGCAGCTGCCAGGAGACAATTGCCATACATAAAAATAAAAACCAGATAAAACAATTTATTACATTTACATTTAAAATCGGTGCTCGCAAAACAACATCCAAGATGGGATCCAAGATGGGATCTCCAATACAATGTTTCAAAATTCTACTAGCTCTACTTGATCAGTCTGCGCTATGTCCATTCTTCAGTTCCAGTGGGTATGCTGCTTAGAAGTGTGCCACCTATGACAACTAGCATGCCCTTATTATTTCCATGTGTGTAGTAGGCAGGAGATTCTATGATTGACTAGCTCAGGGGTGTCAAACATGCAGCCCAGGGGCCAAATCAGGCCCCCGGGGGGCTTCTATCAGGCCCGCAGAGGAACTGGCTGTCTTCTGCTTCTTCTTCCAGTTCTGCTGCTGCTGCATCATTGTCGGTTTGCAGCTTACAGATACACACCTTAACAGCATACTCAAGATTGCAACAGCACAGACATTTTGATGCAATAATTTAGAGCAAGAGGTGTCAGTTATCAGACACTGTTAAATAAACAAAATATTGCAAGAGTGCTAATGTTTTAAGCATGTTTTTATTTTAAGTAAAAAAAAACCGCTTTGTGTTTGTGTCTTTTATAAAGTTTATATCTCCACTACCTGGCATTACATTTTATGACACAGATGGCCCGGCCCAACAAGATCTCATTTATGTCAGATCCAGCCCTCATAACAAATGAGTTCGACACCCCTGGTCTAGCTCTTTAGCATTATCCAGGGTGCACTATGAGGAAGCGAGCTAGAATTGCTTGCCCTTATTATGGTTACAGGGAGCGGTGGCGCAGACAGTAAAACGTCTGCTATAACATCTAGCAAACAGCCATTAATGGCTGTTCGAGACCCACCGCGGCTGGGGTGAGCTCCCGGCCCTAGTCCCAGCTCCCGCCCATACTTGCGAGTAGACAAAGTGGGTACCTGCCCTAGGTGGCAGGGGGCACCCTCCTCCCCGTGGGGGGGCGTGCAGCAGACGGCAACGGCAGTGATGGTGGCGACGGTGAAACAGTGACGGTGAGATGGCCTGGCGTCCCAGCAAAGCATGCAAGCGGTGGAACCGGATGGAGGCGGAGCTACGGAGGCACGGTGACGTGCGGTGCGGCGGAGCCAGTCGGACAGAGCCGAGGCTGCAGCTGGCGCGTGGCCGCGCTCTAGGGGAAGGCCACTGGAAGAAGCCGCTGAACTAAAAAGATCAGCTCCAAAGGCGGCAGGAGGAACAACGCCAGAACAACATCTATAACCCCGAAGCCTGCCAGAATAAAGAAGCCGGAAAAACAACAAGAGCCGCCCTGCTGCCTGGGTGCTGGTAGGTAGTCACCTCCCCTGTTAATGTGGCCCTAGATAGGCAATGTAATCATATGTAAACCGCTCAGAGACCCTTTCGGTATATAAGCCGAAAGTAAAAAAAACCCAAAGGGGCTCCAAAAACATACACAGAAATAATCTAAACAATCATGATATCTTGGGCTGTACAGGATTCAGGAGCTGGTTCATCCAATAGCTATGATGGATATAGTGGTGGCCACAGGCATAGATAGCTTTAAAGGGGATTAGACAGATCCATGGAGGATAGGTCTATAGTGGCTACTAGCCATGGAGACTAAAGAAAACTTCTGCATTCAGAGATGGTAAACCTCTGAATACCGGCATTAGGAGGCAACATCAGGGGAAGGTCTCCACCTCTATGCCCTGCTGTTAGCCGTCCAAAGGAAATGGTTGGCCATTGTGCTAGACTAGATGGACCACTGATCTGATCCACCAAAGCTCTTCATATGTGCTCTTTCTTATGTTCTTAAAACCATGAGCAGGAAAGGGGGGTATAGCTCAGTGACAGAGCACATGCAGGTCCCAGGTTCAACTCATTAAAAGGATGTCAGGCAATTTTGGGAAAGGCCTTTCTCTACTAGAAACCCTAGAGATCTGCTGACAGTCAGAGCAGAAAACACTTTGCAAAAGAGACCATTGTTCTGACTCTCTGTAAAGGCAGCTTCAGGACTAGGCTTCAGGACTAGGCATTCTGGGACCTCTGAAGGGAACATGCTTGCCAGGTGCACTTAACCTTGTTCAGGTGTTGCACCCTGCACACAAACCAAGCCTCAGATTTGCTTGTCCCAATGTCACTGTTCACTGCCCAACTTGAACACCGAGCTAAGCCGTTCAGTGGCAGAAAGAAGACTAGGCCTTCTTCAGAGTACTCCTGGCAGGCAGTGATCTGGGAGACTTTATCCCCTATTGAGGCATTTACTGGGCTGTCAGTGTGGGCAATGTGTACAAGACACCCCTTATTTTTATAGTTAAAAAGTGTTACAGGCCATATTTATAACTGATAGTGAAGGCAAATAAATTACCGCTCCCACTAGGGCTGCCAAGCCGTGGCGGGGGATCCATGCATCTTCACAGGATCCCTGCCATGGGGGACAGCGATACGTGCTGCACCGCCGTCACCAGGATGTGACGCTACGCGTCGCTCTGGCAACGGGACTCCAAACAGCCCCGTTGCCAGAGCGACGCGTAGCATCACATCCTGGCGACAGCAGTGCAACACATATCGCTGTCCCCTGCAGCAGGGTTCCCCCGCTGCAGCTTGGCAGCCCTAGCTCCCACTAGGATTGGGAAGGTCTAATCTGGAGAAGACAAGAGTGAACGGCGACTTGATAGTATACTTATCTGATCATCAGATTACTCCCATTGACTGGCAACATATATCCAAGTACCTTTATAATCACCACTAGCTCACTAGTATGATTTGTAGGCACAATACCTCAGTATCTTCCCTTAGAAGAAGAAGAAGAGAAGAGATTGGATTTATACCCCGCCCTTCACTTGGGAGTCTCAGAGTGGCTTACAAACTCCTTTCCCTTCCCCTCCCCACAACAGACACCCCGTGAGGTGGGTGGGGCTGAGAGAGCTCTGACAGAAACTGCTCTTTTTCAAGAACAGCTCTTATCAGAACTACGGCTTGCCCAAGGTCATCCAGCCAGGTGCAAGTGGAGGAGTGGGGAAGCAAACCCGGTTCTCCCAGATTAGAGTCCGCACACTTAACCACTACTCCAAACTGGCTCTTAAAGGACTCCGTATGACAGAGTTAGGAAAGACTTTGAATGAAACCTTGGGCAGCCACAGTCAAAGTAGGTTAGGTGTCCCCAACCCTTCTGAGCCTATGGGCACCCTTGGAATTCTGACACAGGGTGATGACTGCAACCACAAAATGGCTGCCACAGGAGTTGTGGCCAGACACAGAGAAAGTCTAAGTGCCACACTGGGGATGAAGAGAAGAGATTGGATTTATATCCTGCCCTTCAATCGGAGTCTCAGAGCAGCTTACAAACTCCTTTCCCTTCCCCTCCCCACAATAGACACCCTGTGAGGTAGGTGGGGCTGAGAAA